GAAGCAGTAGCCATAGCTGGCTGCCAGATTTTGGTTACGTGTTCTGATTACTGCCTCCCAAGAGTTATGGAAAGATAGGCAGATCTCCTATTGATATGTGCAATCAAATTTCACAGAATAGCAGCCTGGAAGTACAGCTGATAAAACTATACCCAAAAGATAACCCGAGTCTAGATCGGATTACAATTATGATTCAGAATGTGGCGCACACACACAAGCATGAAAGTGATGCTCCAAGTTGCATCAGATCCAATTTCCAAGTTACAAATGCATAATGTACTAGTTAAGATTATTCTGAATGGGAAAAAAGAAGCCTCACAGATATACACATCTCTCCAGTACTGAATAGGGGAAACGGTCGGAATATAACAAAATTTCAAAAACGGAAGACTTTGTGCCTTTATATCAATCACCTTCTGCTGCTGTAGAGCTGGCAGACAATTGCTGCAAGTTATTTTTGCACAGGCGCAATAAGGAGCAAAGTTATTATCTTTATCAACACAATTGAAAGTTACCGGAACATGTCCTGCATAAACTCTGTTGACTTTGCTAGAAATGGGAGATAACAAAATCAATGATGTACATGGAGGGGGGGAGAGAGGGAAGGAAGGAAGAAGAGAGCCACCTTCACAACACACTGTAACCTTTTCCAATAAATGTTTTGCATGTTATAAAGGTAGGCACAGAGAAATATATATATTTATATATCTGTGGTGTATACACACACACACACACACACACACACACACACACACGAGTCCACCACAGCTTCTTTCCAGAAAGCTTGTGAAAATCATGATAATGCTCAAGAGAATTAATGACGGGGAGGGAGAAGGGAAGATGTCAAGGGAAGAAAAATGGAATATATGACCTACCTTGCAGAAGGGCTCCATTTCGCTTGAAAAAGGTGCTTCCTGGCCAAATAGGTGGACCTGATGTGCTGAAGGCAATAAAAAAAGAAGTGTAAAGAAAATCTTTATGTGATTTCGCAGTTGGCATAATTATACCTTCTTCTTCCTTTTTTTTAAAGCGTGGCATCTGTTTCACTGTGGTAAGAACACAGCATTTTGTTTTTAAAGAGTAGGGCTTAGCTCTTCATTAAAAAAAATAATTATTTAACTATCACATTCTATTCACAAGAAGAAACTCAGCCCAATGTCGGCCCACACACTTTTAAGAAGGGAGGGAAGAGAAATCTAGAAACAAAAATATTTCTCCCACACACAATTTAAAAAAACATAATAAATTCATAGCCTGGCAAAACATACATTAAGCTTACTTCTGAAATGCAAAAATGCTTTACACACTCACACTCCATAAGCCAGATCTCACTTCCCATTTTAAAAAGTATAAACCAAAGGCGGCATCTGTTGCTTGCATAAACCGACCCTGAACCAGATGCTGTTTTATTGCAACCTAGAGGACAACTTCTTATGGTGGCAAAGGTGGGTCTTTCCGGGTGCAATCTTCTGGAAGTTAGGCTTCACAGGTGGCGGTGTGAATTTTGAAGTTTGCACGTGTATATATCAACAAGTTTGTGCACAGGCATTCTGCCTATGAAATCTGTCAACAACTATGTGTGTGTGTTGATGGATCATGTCTATACATGTGTATGTGCACAGGTCAAATCGCATGATGTTCTACAAAGGTTAACAATTTTCTCCAATTCAAAGGCTTCGGGGTATCAGAATTGGAGAAAGACATTATCTCCTCTTCAGCTTAGAAAAAGGGTTTTTTAAAAGCTATATTAGATGCTCTTGGTTAAACCCTGAAGCTATTTCATCACACAATGCTTAAAAGCAAAACACACCCACACACCCACAACGCTGTGAGATTTGGGGCCAACTTGAGAGCGGCCTATCTAATCACCAATGGCATCACTGTAGCTAGGAAACAACTCTTGATATGCAGAGACTTGCAGCTTAATTTCAGGTTTGCGGCACACTATCAGCACTAAATCAACTAACCAAAGACATTTGATCCAATAGATAAATGGAACTATGTCCAGTTATTTTCTTAACTTCATTGACACGAGGACGTCTGAAAGTTGAATCAGGCAAGGTTTACGATCTGCCACATCCCTGCTCTGCTCTGTCTTAATAGATAGAATAAATTGCAGCTAAGGAAATAGATGGAGGCACAAACAGTCATCATCTTCTTACGGAACGATCATCACATTACCGCCAATTTGCACAACCTTTAGATTGATGATTCAGCCCAACCTTCACACGTCTTCATACCCACTGCTGGGCAGGTTTTAATTATAGTCATAGCAGGTGTATTAGAGTGGATTAGCTGCTTCTACAAGCAACAGCTGAGACCCCCCCCACACACACAATAGCCAACATAACTGCCTTGCACATGTCAAACACTGCATTCTGCATGCAAATATGCCCTGCATCTATATTCAGATGCCAAATCCTTTCTATCACACCGTTTCAGCCAAAGTACATATTGCCTAGTTTATTAAAAGCAACAACAAATAATGTGTGCTATTTTATTTATTGTTGTATGTCGCTTTGGGTTGCATTCTGTCCTCACTGTTGTCACACAGATTCCTGTGGGAAGCCAACAAGCAGATCCTAAGCTCAACAGCACTCTCTCCAACTGCATTTCCCACTGACTGGTTTCAGAGGCACCGCCTCCAACAGAACAGTCGTTGCGGCTAGCAACCATTGAAACCTTATTCTTCATGAATGAGTTCTGTCCCGACTTCCCTTCAGTCTACTGCAGGCTTATAAACCTGGAAATGGTAAGCTTAAGGGGGAAAGGAAAGAGAAGAAAGCATCCATTAGAATCAAGATCTTTCAAAACAGACTGAAAAATATTCCCTTAAATGGGATGCATCTTCTACCTAAATATAGAAGGGTGGGTATTTCCCTCCCAGGAAAATGAATTCAATTTAGAAAAAAGAAGAGAAGGAAAAGGCTATTAGTGCCTGACCGCAACTAGTTACACAAGGAAGATTTTACACACATGCACACACGCGGTCACTGCAGTTGGGTGCCTTGCAACATTCAAGTGACATACTAAGCTAATAATGTGAGAACAGAAGCCTCTTGTTTGTAAGCCTCCATTTATCCAAGTCATCACTATTTCTCCTTAAAATTAGGTTTTAATTTCAGCTATTATTTGCATTTACTCAAGGAGAAGCAAAAACTTTCAAGTACAGCACAAACTGTTTTCTGTGTTGAAAAAAGGGGCCTGATGATATCATCATTTTCATGTTCCTCTTAAACCTCACACAAGATACACAGGCCCACCGCAGAGTTGAAAAGTTAAATTTTCTATCCATTACAAGTGATGGCATATTACTGACATATTAAAGCCAATGCATGTTAAAACCAATAATGGTTTTAGTGACCATATGGTCATTTTCAGCTTTCACCTCTTAAATAGATTATAAAATCATAAAACTCAACAAGCACTTCATATACTTCCTGATTTTTTCACTCTTAAAGCAGCAATACGAATATCTACCTTGGCCAAAACATCAACAAATCTATTTGTGATTTGAGGAGGTGGGGCAGTGAACTGAGGGCATTCAAGGGAAATGACAAAAGTAAATACTATATTGGCAGCACTCATGCAAAACAGGTTTTTATCAGAGTCACGAGGGGGAGAAACTGAGCCACCAGGAACAATCAACCCCTTTCCAAGAAACCTAAACCCCACCCCTGCTAACCCAGAGTTCTCTGAATTCCCTGCACATTGGCAAAGCACCCAACGCTTCATAGTTGTTCGTACAGGAGTCACAAGGTCTAGCACAAGATGGCACTGGGCAAGGCTAGCAAAGCAACCATTTTGGGGCAGATCCTGGTGTCACGCCCCAAAGAATTTCCATCCATGGGAGACAGAATGACTAACAACAGGGCTAACTACTGCTTGAGGAGGAGGAGCGGTTCAGAGTGGAATCAAACTTTAGGTATTTCACCAAAAGGGAGGAAAAACCCCCAGTACATACATAGTCAAAGGCATTCTGATTACTCAAAGTCTTGTAGATTATCTTGTATGTTTTTTTCTATATTGGCAGGGGGTTTAAGGGGCCAAAGTTCAATGATAAGAGCACATTCTTTGCACGCAAAGGGTCCAAGGTTCAATCCTTGTCTCTCCCACCTCCCCACCCCTCAGATACGGCTGAGAAAGACCCTTGCCTGAAACCCGGAGAGCCACCAACAGTCAATGCAGATGATACTATGCCAGGGTCATGGACTGGCTGTATGCAGAAGAGCGGTGAGAGGCACCAGCTATGGAACCCCCCAGGGAAGAAGGCTCAGAGCCAGAGGATTGGTGGTGGGAAGGTGATGAGTGGTCAGAAGGAGAAGGAGCAGGCTAGGAGGAGGCATCGGTGTTGGAAGCAGAAGTAGTGACAGTGTTTAGTGAACAGGAAGATGTTGCAGCAGGGAACAGTTCAGACACCGAGGCAGAAGCGGGGCTGGGGAGGAGTAGGGCCAGGAGGCAGGGAGGCCGGCTGTGGAAGAAGCCAGGGAGTCTCCCCCTCCTGCTGCGACCAGCTCTCCTCCACCCTGGTCTCCTAACACACACAAGAGTAATGAAACAGCCAGATCAAGAGGAGGTTGTGTGCAGATGCAGGCTGAGACTGCACGAGAAAGACCTTGGAGATGAGGAGATCTAGTGGGCAGGGACCTTCAGTCCTCGCAAATGCTTCCGTTGGGGCAAGACCTCCAGTTGTGGTTTGCTTCCTTGAATAAAGAGTTAACTTCAGTGGCCTATGGTGATTTATTGTTTGGTTGCTGACCTACCCAACTCCAGCCCTGAAAGCAATCTGACTTGGGTAAGGAAGCCACTTGTGTTTGACACCAGGGGTCTTATAGCCCTTCCCTTTGCAGTCTCTTGAAAAGGTACTGCAGCCAGAATATGGGGGAATTGCCACACTCTTACATACCCAAGTCACTTCACTAATCCAATAAGCTTAGTATATAGTTCCCACTGGTAGCTGCTTTCCAGGGTTTCAGGCAGGGAACCCTTGTAGCCCCACCTGGAGATACCAGAGGTAGAATCTGGGGCCTTAGGCATGCAAAGCCAAAGCTCTACCTCTGAGTTACAGCCTGTCAGCATCTTGATTGCAGAACTGCTTTCTGAGTGTGCATGGGGCTCTTTGCATCTTGCCCAGCAGCAGCTACTGTTCCAACATAAACCAAGTCCAATACAGTGGTGCCTCGCAAGACGAAATTAATTCGTTCCGCGAGTCTCTTCGTCTTGCGAAGCACGGCTATTAGCGGCTTAGCGGCTTTAAGAAAAAGGAAACAAACTCGCAAGAACTCGCAAGACGTTTCGTCTTGCGAAGCAAGCCCATAGGGAAATTCGTCTTGCGGAACGACTCAAAAAACGGAAAACTCTTTCGTCTTGCGCGTTTTTCGTCTTGCGGGGCATTCGTCTTGCGAGGCACCACTGTACTTTATGACTGGCAGGAATTGAAAGGAGCTTAGTCCTCACAGCTAGTCATCAAAGCGGGAGAGAAGGATTTGCAATCAGGAATCCATCTTCACTTGTGAACGCCAACAGGTCTTACTAATGTTCATATCTATGTTTATAAATAATCACTTGGCAATCTGAAAACAGCCTTCAACAACGTACAATACAATGATCTGCTAACGTTTAGGGCAGGAACGAGGTAGAAGTAGGATTAGAGACTGTTTCTTTAGCCAGAAGTTCTACAAAGAATTGCTAATATATAAAACCTAGTCACAGCCTAGTCTACATTGCAGCATTATAAAATTTTGAAATTAAAAAATGAATATTTATGTCTTGCCATCGCTTTAGTAAATTTTGTTAACAAGATAAAAGAATTTACCGCTCCTTCTGACAGCTGCTGGCAGTTAATATCACAATTAGGTGTTACCTAGCAACAGCTAGCAGTATTCTTCGCAAGTCAAGGAAGAGAAGAAACAGAAAAGTAACTGGACTAATTAAAATATATTTCAATATTTTAATGTGTTTATGCCAAGACATTTAGGGCACCATCCATCTAATGTTCAAACACGTTTAAAGTCTCCTGTTTTGAGTATTTAAAAGTGCTTGAACTCAGGATGGATAGGGCTCATAATATTTTTACTACGTTGTAAAATAAACTAATGTTGGGGTTAACAATTTCTCATTATCCCCAGAAACTTCTTCCAGAAATATAAACTAATTAGAAATAAACAAGTTAAAATCTTCTCACCTCCACCCCTCTTCAATGACAGACTGCCTTCCATTGTTAGCATGCAATTCTCCTATTTTCATATTTGTACAGCAATCTTGCTGGGTGACACACTAAGATCTAAGCTACTGGAATCGTGCCTATATAAATTTGGGAGGAGCCCATGCCTCTTTTCCCATGAACAGCAAACAGGAGTACTAACCAGTTTTGAGTTTGTGTCCCATCAGCGGGAAGCTGCTGAAGTCAGAGAAACGACTTACTTCAAGAACAAATTTATATATACTGCTTGGCATAGTGGCAAAGAGCAGAACTCTCTGGTTCTGCAGCAGAGTTCTAGCCGTTGCCATTTTCTTAAAATAGTTTTCAGAAGACGTGAGCAAAGGATCGAAAACACCTGAGTCCCTCTTGGGTTGCTTACAACATATCCAGTATAACTTTGGAGAAATATATTTTCAAATCAAGCTATCTAGTTCAAACACTTAAGCATTCTGACTAAAGCTTCCCCCTCCTTTTTTTGCTTGTTTCTGAGAGTGCTGTTAAGATTTCTTTGAAAGCATTTCCTCCTCCTTCTCCACCACCACATTCGGTGGCATTTGTAGGGAAGTTGCCAAGGGAAAATTAGGATGCCAGACATGTTCAATAAAGCTGTGGGTTAATGAAACAATGTTTAAAAATGTTTCCTTCTGCAGACAATTTTTTTTTTAAAGAAAACAACAGCCCGTAATTTGTGCACAAATGTGCTCACAAGTAATAGGCTTGACTTGGTAGAGGCTCTGCAAGACTTCAGAAATGGGTCTCTCCCAGCCTGGCCCTTTCCCTGCAAAGGGCATACATTTAACATTAGCAAATACATAGGAAAGAGACTGAAATAGTTCAAAAGTGCTGCCAAACACGCAAAGAAAACACCCTTCCCCCATCCATGAAGCTCAGTGTAATTATCAGGAAAGGATGGAGATTTCCCCTGCAAATAAAGTTAGATTGATAAAGTTGTTAGGTTTTTGTTTTGTTTTGTTTTTTATATCTTAGAAAAGCGACTAAGGGCAGCAGCAGCAGCGGGACGAGGGAGCATGATAGATGTTAACAAAATTAAGATCAGTGCAGAGAAAGTGAACACAGATAAATCCCTTCTCCCAAAACACTAGAATCCGAGTTGCACGCATAAATTGACTGTCAGCCGGTTTGAGTCAAACAAAAGAAGCACTTCTTCAACACAGCAGGCAATTAACTTACCTAATTCATTGCCACATGGCCTCTAGCGCAAGTATCTTTTAAGACAACTTAGATAAAGCCATTGTACCAAAAAATCTATTTTTTTTATTATTATTTTTAAAATCCTACCAGCCCTCATAGCAGGATGCAAGGGGCTCGTTCCCAAACCCCATCTTATTCTCACAACACTACCGGGAGGTAATTTAGCCTCATACTGGGGTCGGCAAACTATTTCAGCAGGGGGCCGGTCCACTGTCCCTCAGACCTTGTGGGGGGCCAGACTATATTTTGAAGGGGGGGGGATGAAAGAATTCCTATGCCCCACAAATAACCCAGAGACGCATTTTAAATAAAAGCACACATTCTACTCATGTGAAAACATGTTGATTTCCGGACCGTCTGCGGGCCGGATTTAGAAGGCGATTGGGCTGGATCTGGCCCTCGGGCCTAGGTTTGCCTACCCATGGCCTAAATAGATAGCAATTGGACCAAGCACAACCAGTGAACTGGATGAGGATTTGAAGCTGGGTCTCCCATGGCTGCTAGCCATTACAGTGGTGGTACCTCGGGTTAAGATCTTAATTCGTTCTGGAGGTCCCTTCTTAACCTGAAACTGTTCTTAACCTGAAGCACCACTTTAGCTAATGGGGCCTCCCACTGCCGCTGCGCAATTTCTGTTCTCATCCTGAAGCAAAGTTCTTAACCCAAGGTACTATTTCTGGGTTAGCGCAGTCTGTAACCTGAAGCGTCTGTTACCCGAGGTACCACTGTACAACTAATCATTGAACTTCTCTGTTCAGAAGTTGTGTACCTTTGATTATCAGTCGCTGGGAACAGTATCATGGGATGGCTATGTGCGATCGTGCCCTTCTTACGAGTTGTCCTAAGGCACGTGGTTAGCTATCACTGAAGGTGGAAGCTAGGTTCGTGCAACTCCTTGGGGCTGCAGCCAGAGACTTGTGGTTTGCCCTGTCAGTTCCTCCACCAGATAAGAACACAGGCTCCAGTTCTCTCTGCTACTTGCTGATCTGCACCAACTATCACATTTCTGTTACATCCTGAATGGGCAAAAAGATCGTTACACTAATCAGTCTGCCTTCAAAGCAGAATTGGAAACCGCTGTTTGAACTAGAAGACAGAGCGTCCAAGTCCAAGTCAGGCAATACTTTGAACCACAACAGTAACTGGAAGATCCTAAGGCAACTAAGAGACCACTTCCTCCATCTGATGCACTGTAGTCCACAAAACGTCCTACTGAATTTGTTTGTCCTTAATGTGCCAGAAGTCTTAATTGTTTTTGCTTCAACAGGCTACAACACCTATGCCACTGAATGATCCATGGTAATTCTCACGCAGCGTTCGAAATTAGCAGGGCACCAGGAGCATTTTGTGCCTAAAGATTCTCCATTTGCAAGCACCTCCAGAAGTCTGGGTGCCATTTTTTGTGCCTGGCTGACACTCAAGGATTACTGAAAATGTATGTGCTTTGAAGCCTCAAAGTATAGGTCAAGGATAGACAATATGTTAAGGAGTTTAACAATAAAGAGTAGAGTGTTTTGAAAACTTAAGTATGGTACCTATCTTTATTGTAAAGGCCAAATTAAACGTGTATTGACCATTTCTGCTAAAAATGTATCATTTATGTGAATTGCATATTAATTCATGCTTACCAAAATAATAAATAAAAAGTGTTGCTGCCCTAGACTAGACATCCTGTTTTGGCACCCACAACCCTGGTCCCAGAAGCCATTTGGCTCCTAGCTTTTCTATCTCGGTTTTTGACACTGTTATCAAGTTAGCATTGCTCAAACACCCTGGATTTATTTATTCATTACATATACACTGACTTACACCTCCAACATTTGACATCATGAACAAACCATACCACAAGATCTTCTGCTCACACCCACTCTTAGAAGACATCTGAAGGCTGGGAGGTTTTTAATGCTTGTTGTTTTTATTATGTTTTTAGACATGCTGTAAACCACCCAGTGGCTGGGGAAACCCAGCCAGATGGGCAGTGTGTGTGTGTGTGTATAATAATACAGTGGTACCCTAGGTTAAGTACTTAATTCGTTCCGGAGGTCTGTTCTTAACCTGAAACTGTTCTTAACCTGAAGCACCACTTTAGCTAATGGGGCTTCCTGCTGCCGCTGCTGTGCCTCCGGAACACGATTTCTGTTCTCATTCGGAAGCAAAGTTCTTAACCCAAGGTACTATTTTGGGGTTTGCGGAGTCTGTAACCTGAAGCGTATGTAACCCGAGGTACCACTGTAATAATAATCTAGACCTAGCCACAGCCCCAATATATTTACAATTAATCTTGAAAATCTGGAGGTATGTTAAGTGCACAGAGCTTTCTTTAATCACGACCTAAGCAACCACTACACTATCAAACCATGCATATTCAAGAAAGAAGCACAGCGCAAAACTCTTTGTCGTGCAGAGTTAAGAAGTGGTTTCTCTTCTCTTCTGCTACTGCATTGCTCAGGTCCTCCAAACTTCCACAGAGCTTACTAGAGGAGCAGCTTGTGTTCTGTTTATATTTCACAGACACATGCTTTGTATCATGTTACAGTGATGGTATGCATAACCATGGTGACAGCTACTTATGATAAGTGCTACCAATCCATTTTTCCCCCCTATTCCAGGAGGCCCTGAGGTGGCAGGGGGCAAAGTACCAGCCTCTGCCCGGCT